ATTTAAAAATAAAACATTTAATGTGGGTTTGATTCATTTTGTCAACAATCACTTCACGAACAATTGTTTCATTAACATTAACAAATAGTTCGAATTTAAGAAATTGGAAGCAACTATTTAAAATAGTCTAATAAATTAAACCGTACTACTTGAAAATGTATTTAAAGGGTTGATTTTCGACTTGGTTGAAGAATAACTATCTTTCCAACTCTTCTCTTGACCATATCTCTCGATATAATCAAAATAACCTTAATATAACGAATGTCAAAATGATTGTAAACGTAACCAATTTAAGATATACGATCAAGAGGAATGAAAATATCAAACAAATTTATTTAATAAAACAAAATTTACAACTCAAAAAATTTTTTTTTTGTATGAAATAAAATTCCATTATTAACTATAAACAATCTAATTATATAGATCTTGATCAATCAATCCCACCTATATAGTTATTGAATAATTGATAATAATAAACGTTAATTAAATATATTTTACCAACAGCTTCGTAGATCTCGACTTTAAGACTTACTTTGATCAAACCCGCCTATAATAATAAACGTTCATTTTGGAAACTTGATTTGCAAATAGATCTTGACTTTAACACTTACTTCTACCAAGCCCGCCTATATAATTATTTGAATAATTGATAAAGAGGGTTGAAAAGACCAACAACAACGATGATAAGAAGTCCCCACGCAAAGCATTAAAATCCAAACATCTGGATTTTGAGAAACAATTCATGAGTTCCAACAGCAAGAGAAAGACCACAAATTACATCAGGGAGTCGGGTAAAAAAAGAAGAAATGCAGACCATGACCCACAGGAAGAATCAATATCAAGGGCAACGAAACTGACATATACAATGAACGAAGTTGCCAGCAACAATAAAGGTTATACGGATAGAGTAGAAAATTCATACAACATTGAAAATGATGATGATAATAATGAGAATGAAACAGTGGTAAACGACGACGGTAATGAGAGATGTGGCACTAATAATTTTTATTATTCTTTGTATTTTTTTTTTCGCAATAAAAATTACGTAGATCAAATTTTTTTTCCATTTGTATTTGTATGCAATAAAAATTATGTAGATCAAATTTTTTTTTCAAAAAAAAAAAATTTACCACTCAGCATTGCTTTGCAATTCAATTCAACGCAACTCAATTTCAATGCAATTGCAATTGCAACCTGTTTTATAAAACAAAACATTTGCCGTACGACATAATTTTTTGCTAAATATGGTGAAAACGTTGATCGCGCCAAAAACCGAAAAGACCAGGCGCGGCTAGACGCAAAAGGAGAC